TGACATATATACCTAAGGTTGCCTTCTGGTTTTTGGAACCTTCATGCTTATGTCAATTCCTGTGCACACGTGTGTATTAAAACTTGATTTTTCTCCTGTTAATCTGCCTTGTGTCATTTTAATTATTCAGAAAGACTACCAGAGAAAGTTTCCCCATCCCTGACCAGGGTAAGAACAGAGAAAGAGCGGGGTTGGGAGCAGGATCCCATGTTCTACAGCCCCTACTTCTGGCGTCTTTGATGAAATGGATTTATGCATTTAAAAGTCTTAAAATCAGCCCGGCCAGGCGTGGATTAGCCGGTGAGCAACAACCTAGGATCCAGGAAATCAAGGTTCGATTCCTGGTCAGGGCACATGCCCGGGATGCGGGCTCGATTTCCATTTGGGGGCGTGCAGGAGGCAGTCGATCCATGACCCTCTCATCATTGATGTTTCTCTCTCTCCCTCTCCCTTCCTCTCTCTGAAATCAATAAAGATATATTAAAAAAAAAAAAAAAGTCTTAGAATCATGTCACCCAGCAATTCCGCTCCTGGGTATATACCCCAAAGAACTGAAAGCAGGTTCTCAAAGAGGCATTTGTATGTCCATGTGTATAGCAGCATTATTCACAATAGTTGGGAAGTGGAACCCAAGTGCCCATCAACGGAGAAATAGATGAACACCAGGTCCCCCCATACAAAGGAAGGCATATTTCATTCAGCCTTAAAAAGGAAGGAGATTCTGACGCCGGCTCCAACATGGATGGGCCTTGGGTGTACTATGTTGAGGGGAATAAGCCTGACCCAAAGGGACAAATATTGTATGCTTCCACTTCTATGAAGTATCTAGAGCGGTGCAAGCCTTAGAGACAGAAAGTAGAATGGTGGGTGCCAGAGGCTGGGAAGGCTGGGCATGGGGGAGTCAGTGTTTAGCGGGGACAGAGTCTCGGGTTTGCAAAATGAGGAGAATTCTGGAGCGCAAGGATACAGCAATGGGTGTACGTGCACTTAATACTACTGAATAGGACACTTTAAAATGGCTCGGAAGGCCCTGGCTGCTTTGCTCAGTGGTTAGAGCGTCCACTCGCAGCCCCCTGGAGTCTTGGGTTCGATTCTCCATCAAGGGCACGTAGCTCTCTGTTCAACAGGAGGTAAACAATTGACATATCTCTCTCACATGGGTGTCTCCCTCTCCCTTCCTCTCTCTCTCAAAATCAATAAAGAATTATTTAAAAAATAAATGAATAAAATAGTTCAGGTGGAGATTTTTTTTTCTCTTCAATTTTTTTATATATCTTTATTGATTTCAGAGAGAGGGCAGCAGAGGGAGAGAGAGAGAAACATCAATGATGAGAGAGTCAGTGGGGATGGAGCCCGCAACCTGGGCATGTGTCCTGACTGGGAATCGAACCTCGATCTCCTGGATCCCAGGTCGATGCTCAACCACTGGGCCCAGCCGGGCCAGGGGGAGGTTTTTGTCACATGTATTTTACTATGAAAAGGAACCTTCGAGCGGTGCCCTGAGGGTAAACACAGAAGCCTCTGGCCTGATAGGATCACAGCAGCCTCCTGGGCCCTCCTGAGCCGCCCTGCCTACCCGGGGAGGGTGGTCTTGACGCGTTCCCAGCTCTGTTTTTAGAGATTCTATCAGCTCCAGCTCCGCCTGGCTTCCCTCAGACGACGGACTTCTAGCCAGTGATCCTGGGGCTGCTCCTGCGGTCGGGTAGGACCGACGCGGGAGTGAGCCCGGTACCTTAGAGACCTCGGCAACCGAGCGGCAGTGCCGTTAGCTACTCAGCCCGGCTCCACTTCGGGGTGGAAAAGACCCATTTTCCAGATGAAAGAAGGAGCGGTGAGTTGTGTGTGTGTGTGAGAAGGGGTGAGGGTGGGGGAGGTTGGGTAAGTGTCCACAGGTTCTGAGGCTGGTTTGGTTTTCTAATTTTTATTTATAGATTCTTATTTTTATCTTTAGAGAGAGAGAGAAACATCGGTTTGTTGTTCCACTCACTCATGCACTCATTGGTTGATTCCTGTACGTGCCCTGACCGGGGATTGAACCCACAACCTTGGTGTAGGGGACGGTGCTCTAACCAACAGCAAGGAGAAAGGGAACCCCCAGCCAGGGCCCCCCACCTTCACTTTTTTTTCTTAACCCGCATCCTAGGATAGTCTGTTGCTTTTCAGGGAGAGTGGAAAGGAGAGTGAGAGAGAAACAGAAAGAAACATATCTATTGGTTGGATTGGTTGCCTCCTGCACACGCCCGGACCAGGCCGGGGTAGAGCCTGCAACCGAGGTACAACATGCCCTTGGCCTGAATCGAACCCGGGACCCTGCAGTCCGCGGGCGGGCACTCTAACCGCGGAGCCATCTCTAAGTGCACCGTTCAGCAGCATTAGGTCCATTTACACTGCTGTGCAAGCAACGTCCAGGGCCCTCATCCATCTCACCAGACAGAAACTGCATGGTCGCTGGGAAACAATCACTCTCCCTTTCCCTCCCGGGCCCTGGAACCACCACCATTCTCCTCTTAGTCCTTTTTCCCCCAATTACAGTTGACATTCCATTCTCATTAGTTTCAGGTGTACAGCAAAGCAGTCAGGCATTTTTATAACTTACAGAGTGACTCCCCCCGTGAGTCTGGCACCCCCCTGACACCATACATAGTTATTACAATATTATTTTTATCTATCAATTGATTTTTTAAATAGTTTTTAAAAAAACTCTCACCCGAGGAGACATTTGTTTCTTTTAGAAAGAGAGGATGGGACACAGAGAGGGAGAGAGGGAGAGAACCAGTGACTGGGTGCCCCTTGCACGCCCCCACCGGGAACGAACCCCCAACCTGGGTATGTGCCCTGACCGGCAACCGAACCCACGACCTTTTGGTTTACGGGACGACACTCCAACCAAGCGAGGCACACGGGCCGGGTGACGATATTACTGACTGTGTCCCCGTGCCGTCCCTTATATCTCCGGGACTCTTCCGCGACTGCCACTGGGCATTAATCCCTTGTCTTTGTCCCCCCCCCCCCAGTCTCCTTCCTGTTTCTATGAATTTGACAACTCTGGGTAATTCATAGGAGCACAAAGGTTCTCAAGGTTCGTTAGCGCTGTAGCCTGGGCCAGAATTGCCCTCCTTTTAAGGCCTTCTTGGTCCTGGCAGAGGGCAGAGGGGTGTGGTGAGGAGACATCCCAGGCCCGGAGCCTGTGCCCCCCCCCAGCTGGAATGAAGTCGTCGTCGTCGTC